GAATCTTAATTCACTGGCTAATGAGAACGTACACTGCATAATCAAAACTAGTGTTATCTGACAACAAAACACGTAAAGATAGACTACGCTTTAATATAAATGTACTAATCTTACCCAAATCATAACTTCAAGAACAAGGTAATAACAAAAGTGATAATAAATGTAAAGATCTAAGTAAATGATTTACACTGAAACTAGAAAATAATATTTGTGTGTTATCTCAATGGATAGGGAAGGAGAAAAAATCCCAACTATCAGATTAAGTATGTGCAGAAACTCTGGGCATTTATGAAATGTAATATAAAAGTTTATGAGATATTTAAAATATCTTTGTGTATTTTACTAATTATAAATAGACTAAAGGTAATTATTTAGTTAAATATCCTATAAATATCAAACTAAAAATTTTTAAATATATGTCTTACAAAAATAAGACTACTAAATGAATGCATTCACTGTGTATCACTAATATAATGGACTCTTATTTTTTTACTGTTAATCTTCCAAAAATTTTCTGATAAAATGGTATATCACTTTTGTTATCAGAAAATATTGTTAAACACATATATATGACTTGTTTACACAAGTATTTTATTATAGTCCTCAAAAAATCTTAGCCTTATTAGGTACATAAATTCTAAGTCTAAAACACTCGGTCAAAAATACATCGCAAACATCGGTCTAAATCTTTGGCAGCCACTGGTTAATATTCAAAACGGCAGTGGTCCATCCTCTCTCCCACACCACTGGAAGGAGCACAACCTGTTATAAAGAAAACTGGCCTATAAATTAAAGACTTCATTGCACAAACAATTCTATGAGTAACTCATCAAATACTCCTGCCTTCCCCCACTCCTTCAAAAACATAACTACTCATCTAGTGCATAGTTTCATGAAACATGTTGCTTTATATATAATATCACACATCTCTCTCCTGCATCTTAATCCTGTATGTTACGTGCAGTGAAATTCAATGAGTACTGATGGAAAATGGGGAAGTAGAACCTAGTTTTAAGTAGAGCAGCATTCCTTTGGCCAACTCATACAGCATTTTCTACCAGATTGAACATCTTACATTGAAATTACAGAAAAACACTAATATCTAGCTCCAAGAGGGTCACAGTCATCCCACCTGCAATCGTTTTGCTTTAAAAGATCATTCCCGTTGTGAGGCTGATTTTCAGAAACACAAGACAAAATGTCTCCTTCCCCATTCTTAACTCTGCTACAAGCGAAATGATCAAGTTAATACATTAAAGTGCCTACAGTAAAAGGCATCATCCTGCAAGCACTCTAAATACTGTAGGTGACAAAAAATGATCTAGATAGAGTCCTACTATGTAGATCTATATATTCATTATCTATATAATGATATCTGAAACTTTTGAGTTAGAAAAAACTGACAAAAATCATTTTCTGCATTAAATGAATAAATGCATAAACATATAAATTAGAAAATACTGGGAGCATACCCTTCTAAACTTTTAATAATTACATATTCATTCATGAATTCATAATGATTTGTTATGCGTTAGCATAACAAATGCATATGTATGATACATACATATAGAAGCATACAGACATAACTGGCTGTGAAGAACACAAACATAAAACATATTACTTTTAAGCTTTTCATAAATATTACTTTAAAAAAATATGACTTTGAGCCAAGAATCATGGGATTTTTAAAAATGTGACAGATAATATTAAATTTCCCTGAAAAAGTTTATGCGATTATAGTCTTAGAAATAACCTATTAAATGCATGTATTTATAAGCTTTTTTAAGAAACTGTTTTCAATCTGCCAATCTTAATGCGCTGGTTTATTTTCCCTTCAGTAAGGGGGAGCACCTTTCATAAATTAATAAGATACTTGCATTTTTGTAAGATTTTCAGACACTCATTTTTCTATCTTTTCTTATTAGTTTGTAGGTGCTTGTTACATAATGCAGCCATTAGCCTCTGTTATAGTGGCTGTGAACATATTTCTACCAGTTTATTACTTGTACTTTAAGTTTTATTATTATATTTGTCACCAAATAAAAGTTTTCATCATCATTATGTGTTAAAACAAAACACCATCAATCCATAGGGCTTCTATATTCCATGTCAGATATAGAAAGTTTCTCACTGCCACAGTCATTTTTTCTAATATATTTAGGTTTTTATCATTCCCTTCAACAATTATAAATTGTTGTATAACAACAATGTATAACCTACATTATAGAGAACTACCAAACCGGATGAATAAATCAGGGCTCAAGCCACCTTTATTTCTTTCAACAAATCACATACAGAGGTTTGTTAAAATTATTTCCCAAGCGATAACTCATTTTAGCTTACAGATATTTACTTATCCATAACAATTTTCAAAATAAGTTTCTGAATTCCATAACATTTGAATTCTCCTTTCATTAATAAAACTAAATAGTTATGTAATTTACTGGCTACTTTTTACTTATACACAGAAACACCTTAGCACACTGACTTTCAGAATCAAGATTTAAACATGCCATTTGCTCTTAAGGCATAAATACTGTTGTAATTATGAAGAGGAAAGGAAGGTGGAGGATAGAACTTTTTCAATGGAACATTTCCTTCCATAATTTTTCCATACAGCTTTGACGTTTCCTATTTTTATCTACCAGAAAGCGCTATCTAATGACAAAATAAATGATTAAATATGAAAACAATCTTAAGATATGATACACTTATCAATGATGCTTATTGTCAAAGGTCACCTTTATCAACATATAATTTGACTTTGATATATTACTACAGTGATGCTATATAGCCATATTTTTTACAAGTAAAACTATTTCTAATTCAAAGGGTACTGCAAGATGTTCTTTCATGTGTACACGTTTGGAGCCAAGATAAAAATATCTTAGTTACTCTAATTGTTTTAGGATCTGATTCCTGCAAATTAGTGAAAAGTAAATTGTCAATATGTACATTCTGTCTTTCAGTCATTTAATAGCTATAGCTTGTAAGTATTCTGAAGCAATAATGGCTTTCCTAAACATAAGCACTATAAGCAAATTTATGCAGACTAGTCTGAATATAATTATTTATTATTAACAGATTCAAAATATATTGAGTTCAAAGCACTAAAAATGTATGAATTATTTCATTTAAAATAACATCAAGAATGTAATCTGAAGACTGAAATAAGGTATAAAACATACATCCAAATATAGAAAAATAACATCTATATTACCTATAATCTATCCTCAAATGGTCAAATAGTCAAGAGAAAGAACAATAATGACAAAGAAATAAAGGAAAAGAGTGTACTGACAGAGAAAAAGACAGAAAGGCGAGAAAGATGCCTGTTAACTGATGAATCTATCTGATGTCAACACGACTTCATTATACTATTGCAATTTCTCTCTGAATTTGGATTGTTTTAATGAAGTTTTCAAAAATCGGTAAACAGGGGGCAGGGGAGATGGCTCAGTGGAATAAGCACTTCCCTGGCAAGCTCAAGGGCCTGAGTTCAATCCCCGGTTCCACCAAAAATAAATAAATAAATAAAAATCGGTAAACATGACAAAAGAGCACAAATAGCTTTGGGTTTTCTTAGGACAAAGTTGTCTGGGACTGTGTGCATGAGGTTATGCTCCCCGTTGAACTATAGCTTTAAAATTTTAGCATGAGACACAATGATAACAGAAGTTCACCCCAACTACCCCCATGACACCACCCTGTCCCTACTGCACAGCCACCTGCTCCAAGTTAGAAAAGTCAACCTACAGTTTAAGTGTGAGACTTTTCTGGATAAAGCACACGTTTTAAATACAATTATTATAAAGATTTCTCTTAAAAGAAAATGAAGACTTATTTATTCTATCACCTAGAAAGCAGTTAAGCATTTAGTCCTAAATAAAAATTGAAAAAATTCCCCAGCTCCAATAAATGTCCTGGATTTAATAATACTTCACTCACAATAAATCTGACAAATGTAGCTAAATAGCAAGTGAATAGAGTAAACATCGACTTTATACTGATTTTGTGTAATATGTTAATTCATTAGTTAAATGTTAACTCTTCTTTAGAAGCATTGCTACAGAATCTAGTTGATTGACACCCATATTATAACAGCATCCAGTCCTGTTTTTACAGATTACATCTGAGTTTCTGATACATCAGGATACATTACAGGAATCCTAACCAATGCATTGTATCCCTTATCCTCAAAAGCCAGCAACTCAAATATGATTTCTATTGGCAGGAAACATTCTCTCTTACTACTTTCTGAATGAAGTCTCATCATAGAAACCACTGAGTCAGGACAGGTTGGAACTACAGAAACTAGCAAGTCCATGACATTTAATTTTTAAAACCTGCCATTTAATTTTAGCTTATTGCTGCCATTTGGGGAGTGCAGGATCATAATTAGTAAACATATACATTTCTCATAAGGAAATTAGAAATATAGAATGTACACAATACTTTCTAAGTGAATGAGATTAATGATGTTTTTTAACAGTCTTAAAATACCTGGTAGAAAACAAACACTTGAATCTTTAGTCTACATAACCAGTTTACAACCCTTGCCTTAAAGCAACAATTCAGCTGCAAAACTCAAAGTTATGGTTATTGACAGAAAAGAGCATATGTTAATTTATTGAAATATTTGGATCATCTTTAATATAAGCAATACATACACTATTTAAACTTGTGTTTTAATGTTTAATTTGCAAAAATAAATCCACAAAAATCTAATCTTTAAAAGACTAAATTCTTTAGAGAAGAATTCCACTATATTACTAATAAATCTTTACACCTACCTGATTCTGCATATAAAAGTAAAAAAAAAATTACTTTTCAACCAACTTGACGTCAGACAAAGCAAGCTTTAAAATTATAGTAGGCTTTTTAGGTTTTATTTTTTGGCATCTAAGCCAAACATCCAAATGACAACAAAAGAAACAACATACAAAAGAAAGATACGGCTCATCTGGTTGACAGCCAACTTTTTCATTACAATTACTCACCTAAGGATGCATAAACAAATTTTGCCTCCTGATGTGAGCCTGCAGAATCCAAATCTCTGTTTACTTTCAATGTCAGTCAATACAAAGGTAAAGTGCTGTCCAACTTGATTTTGAGACACCCTAAAATACAATAACATTATAAAAAATTAATCTCGGCATGACAATTTTCTTAAGGAAAAACAAATCCAAGAATATACATGGTGGAGTTTTCCACAACTGATTTTCAATTGGTTGTTGAAGTTAGAATTCTGCTTTTTCTCTAAAACTAGAGTATGAATGTGAAATGAGTAAATTAAGTCATGAATCACATGGCAAAATAAGGTATAATACTTTATAGGTATATAATTCGGTATATACTAATTCCTAACTAGAAAACCAAAGGGACATTTGCCAGAAGTTTTCTAAAGCTTAAAAGTGCCTATAAAATATTTTAAGTCATTAAAATACTTTTACCTCAACTTAAAAAGCTATACAAAGTAAATCTTTGGGCCCACAGTAGCTTCTCTTTTTCCAGTTATTCTGACTGCCACGGTTATTAACTGCTTAGATAGCAAATCATGTTTTAAAATCCAGTGGCAGCCACCACCAATTCTGCTTCATTGCTTCTTCTGTTGACATTCTTATCCAACAAAGTACCATACAAAACACTATTGGTGTTTAGCATTTACTTTAAGAGTTATCAACATATTGAGGATTAAATTTCCAAATACAAATATGACTATGATTCTACCAAAGAAGTATATTGGCTAAGCTACAAAGGATTCTAGCTAATTTTGAACTATCATAGTGACATAATATGTGTTAGACCACAGTATGAAGAACAATCTAAATCAGTGGACAAAATCTTTACATATTATGTCTGTATACTGGCCATAATTTTGGTATTAGATAACCTAATTTCTGGTTTCTTGTCCCAAAATACAGTACCCATAACACATGAACTTTAGTTTTAAAACAGTACAAGGAGTGTGGAAAAGAAAATAAATTATTACCAATGTACCAATACTATTTTTCAGAAAATACTGCATTGCAAATGCTTAATATTTTAGAAATAAACTGTGATATGAATATTTTTTATAATTTCTACAAATTCCAAATAAATCTCACCCAGTGAATAATATGTCCTCTAGCACTCAAAGTTTACAATATCCTTTGCTAACTTTTCTTCTTTTTTTTTTCCCTATTATTGATGTTCAAAAGGTACCTTTGAAGATGGGAGTGGATAAATGGTTCGCCAGCAATTAGTAAACAAGAAGTATCATTCCTCAGAAATACTTATTTTATCAATTGGCTCATCATCATTAATACAGTAAAATTTTGGAGTCTCACTAATCTTTATCAAAATATTTCCCTATAATAATTTTGTTTTAAGAATAACCATACTCATTAAGAAAACTGAGTATGAAAAACAGTAAGTAACCTGTCATTAGATAGATTACAAGAATATATATTCTATTAAATTCTGACTCAATACACATAGTTCATCCAGTATTTGTTCAATAAACTGCAAACACAGTAGGATTTTCACAACTGCTAAGAAGCCTTCCATAATGCTGCACTACTTCTATGAAGTTGTTCTTGGGAGACACCTGGCCATGAGCTGGACATCATGCAGATGGTCTTTTCAATTAGGATGAAGTGAGAGAAACACAAGGATGCATACATCTAACTTCACAAGCTACTATCTGAACATTCAGAACAAGGACATGTTCTTCCTGCTACTTTGTAGCATATATACCCGAAGATTAAGGGGATAAAATATAACCTATTATTTATGTTGCTTTAGGACTCCTCCAGTCCTGCCATGGAGGACAAAGTAAAAGCTACCATAACTGAAAAGGCTTCGTGATTTCCGATGTCATTTAATTTCATTTGAATCTCTAGTCTCCACAGTTTCTCCAGAAACAGTGAAGAGATTATTTGATTTTTATTAAAAACCACAAGTAATCATTTTAAAGTGTGCTAAGATACTAAAGTTATTATAAATATTGACTTATACTGTACCTTTCAACGTCAAAGGGGAAACAGAACTTTGGCACACTCTGCAGTACTTCCTAGAAATGTAAATTTAAAAAAAAAAACTTTAGAATACTTTTTAAAGGTGCAGTTAAAAATTTTTTAAAGACATTTTCTAGGGAAAAATTTTTTTCTTCAGAAAAATTAGCACAGGTTCCTAGACTAAAATAATTGATTATTAAAAAGGAATTAAGTTTCTGCTTGGGCAGATTGCACTGACAATGGCACGGAAGCCCGGGGGAGGGCCTGGCTGAAGGGTGTTAACACCCTTCACAGCCCCGCGGGGCCCCTTCCACAAGGCCATATGGATTTTACAAGAAGCACCGCACCATATGGGTAAGCCAAGTCTGCTGCTCCTTGTACCACAGGCTAGCCATAGGGACTTCTGACAGATCCTGGCTCAAAAATATAAATGTTGTTTCAATTAAAATGCAGGCAGAAAAAAGAGAATGAAGTTGGCAGCAGAAAGAATTACTGAGAGGTAGAACAACTCTACATGCCCCATACTGAAATGGTTCTTAAAAAAAAAAAAAAAAAATCTTTCTATAGCTTAAAAGACACGCTTACGTTTCTTCCCCCCTCCCCCCCTGCATGAAGTTAAATAACATTCTTAAAGAAATACTTTTTGACATTATTTTTTTTTCATTTTAATGAGAAAAAAAGATCAAATAGCAATCAAACAGTTTCAAAACAGGTTAGTAGGACAGTTACAACAATTAATACACTGCATGTTGTGGGATAAATACACAGCTACTTTCTCTTAGTTCACTAAGAAGAAAGGTTTGTACTAATATTGTTTAGACAAGAGATCATGTCTACATCTTGTCCTCCGAATAACTACAAAGAAATATATTTCTAAAACTAAGCCTTTAGATTAAAACATAGCTTTTATTCTTTGTACTTTCACTTAAAAATTATTTCATATTAAAATCACTATTCTAAGCATAGAAACCAACATGATTTTGAAACCTCCAATAAATTACAGTAATTACAAAAAAGTTTAAATTTTTTAGAAATACTATTAACAATTACACCAAAATGTAAGCAAGTGCCAGGCACTTGTCAAGAAACAAAAAAAGATCCATTTTGTTATATCTGAAAAACAACTCAAAATTAACTCTAATTCAGAAAAGTTTAAAGCCAGGTGACCTACAAGAACAAGCAGACATACAGAAAAGTGTTTCCTATTAAAAGAAAATCAAGCAAATGAAGTTACCTTAATACTACTTATTCCTTTACTAATATTGAAAATCATCAGTATCTAAATATTTTAAAACTATATATATTTTAAAGTAAAATTTCTTGAATTCTTTTAAAATGTATACTGTAACAATGTATCAAGTAAAAATAAAATATAATAGAATTCTACTATCAATACCTCAGAAATCTTCAAGAGCCTTAACTCTTAAAAACAAAAAATTGCACTGTATAAAAGAAAACCTTCTTCCCTTAGGGCAGGATGCCCAGCTGTGCTTATGAACATGTACTTTCCAAAGCATGAGCACAGATTCCACGTTTATAGAAAGCCAGCTATCTTACTAATGATATTTTTTCACATATAATTAAACACTTGAAATAAACTACTGAAACATCAGTTCATCACAGATGAGAACAGTCTGTTTACATCCGACTACTGCTTTATCTATCTTGTGCTGCAGAAAATGAAGTCATTCATCATATTTATTAAACATATGAGCGCTGTTCAGATATCCTCTTGCAAAACCAGCTACATAATTTCTATGCTAAAGAATATATGTTCAAAATTCAATGTCTACCTCTAAATACATCCAAATTAGCCATATATTCTACATCAATTTAAGACTCAAATTAAGAAAGACGCTTCCCATTTAGTTGCTCAGTCTTTTCACACCTTCCCCCTCCTTTCTTACACAAGCAACACACATGCACACACTTCTGCAAAACAGCCTCAGCTCGCTTCCCAACTGGCAGAAGCATCCCTCAGGGGACAAGTCTTTAAACCTCCGCACTCTTTAAAATTCAACCAGGCAGCAGGTCTATAGACTAGTGTATAAACAGTATAGACAAAAAAAAAAAAAAAAAAAAAAAATCCTCTCTCAGCTTATGTCAGTGACAAAGCAGCTCAGCAGTTGACTGCTTCTCCCCTGACAGTAGAAGCAGGGTTTACACAGATCAATAGCCAGAAGTCCTACCTAGCTCCCAGGACTCAGTTTTCTTCCTTAATTACAGGTGCTATTCAAACTGAAGTTTAAAAAGCAAAGAAAAAGTTGGAGGGAGGAGTAAAATATATTCAAATATCTTTTTTTGGATCCTTTTTGGAATAGTGCTAATTGAAATTTACATTTCTACATTTACTGGGGGGAAAGTGTCCATAAACACTGGCATTTCTACCACACAGCGCTTTTGATATCACACACATACACAGACAAGACTCACACAGACACACACCACACGGAAGTGTAGGCCTGCATCTGGACCTGCACTCACAGGTCATGTGAAAGGTTGGAGGCAAAGCTCTCCAGAAGTTCGGGACCTTCTGTTGGATTTTAAAGAGATTTCCTTAGCCAAGAAACACTGACTTTTAGAATCTTATTCTCCAAAATATATCATTTTTATATAGAAAGCACATTAGCCAGCAGATCTGGAATGACAGAAATAACAAAAAGAATGAAACACAAAATTGTGAGCAGCAAGATGCAACCGGCAAGTATACGTATTTCTGTATGTGTCCAAAAAATGACACATTCATCATTAATAAATGGAAACAAAGACAGATGGAATTTACACATTTTTGGTTTCACCTCAATACACCTCTCCTAGCAAGCACAATAATGAAATTGATCTTGTAAGAGAAAAGACAGTGAGTTGCTAGTGTTAGAAGGTACATTAGTTCTTTATCCCATAAAGCTACTATTTAGCACTACACATTAATCAATTAAAACAAGCATTTAAGAAAGAATCTTGTTTAAAAAAATGCAAAATTTGCATTTTCACAAAATTTCTTAGACTTTATCTAAAAAAATGTAAGATGAAATGAGATCTGTCACTGAAGATGCCAGCAGTCATTTTTTCCTCCTTTTTAACCACTTCTTCCCCTAATCTGTGCTGAAATACTGGTGTTCTCTGGAGTTCCATGTTTTCCTCTTCCCTACTTGAGATCTGCCTATGTAATCTTATTACTCCCATGGTTTCAACTAAAAATACTAAACCTCTTAGTCTTATAGTTCAGACAATTTCTGCAAATTCTAGGATTATACATCTGTACATTTTCTGGAATCATGATCTGAATATTCCCAGTCATAGAATTAAGTTGCTCCTTGAGTTATTGTCCCTATTGTTTATAGAGTGGCAGCAGCAACTCCAGAGTTACTCAAACCAAACACATTGTACCTAGCTACCTCCTTTTTTCCCTGTCTCTCATAAAATCAGCATTCAACAAAGTTCTTTAATTCAATTTCATAACAATCTTGCTCTAAAAGTTCTCCATGAGAGATAAGGAATTGGAAGACAGACAAGTGGTATCAGGAAACACATTTGATTGCGATACACAAGGACCCAACATAAGGACCTTTTGTCTTTAACTCCATTTTGAATGGTACTTACTTAAGGAACAAGAATCACTGTATCATTTATGGCCCCTTAACATATATAAAGAGTGGTTACCTATCAGCACTCAGGGACAAGGTAGGCCTTTTCAGAAAGTTTACTCAATATCACCCACAAGGACTCAGGAATGCACTTTCTTTCCTGGTTTGCTGACTTTGACTTCAGCTACCTCTCCTCATAGCCAGAGAACGAGCCACCAGAACTTAGCACATCACTTCAAGAGCCGCGATACCGCAACGTGCAGTGCAGTGAAAGTAACAGCACTTTCTGTCTCTTTGTCAGGGAGGAAGAGACCTCCAGAAGACCCACAACTGACTTTCGCATTATGTCTAATTAGCCACACGGTGACAAGCCAGGCCCAAATTAATCACTGGCAAGGGAAATGGCTACCTACGCACAGCTTAACCTCAGAGTGCTTAGAGGAAAAGTCAGAATTCCTATCCACTTACTTTCTAATAACCATGACACATAATGATAAAGAAGTTTGAGAAAAGTATTTTCCTTATTAATCATCATTATAATATTAATCAAATAAATTTATAATATAGGTCTTAAGAAAAATATATAAGGACATTTTTCAAATATCTATTTTTTGTGCATAACATTTTCAGAATTATCTTGCAATGAAAAAATTATCTGCTTGTCAATTTTAATCTTATTTTTTACAAGGGTCACAGATGTCTAAAAGGATGATTACTTAATTGCAAATAATTTTTCCCAAGAAAATCAGAATACACTTATTCAATCTTTTTTGAAATTTAAATAAGACCCAATAGACTTTTTTTTTCTTAAGAGAAACATGTACTGAACTAAACTGCCACAAACAGGTCACATAACATGGCACTGAGATGGCCAACTGTGTGGTGAGGTATTCTAGGGCATTACAGCAAACTATCAGGGATATTTTAAATTTTTAAAGGAAATGCAGCTATACCAATGGTGTGATTAAATCAGGACTGCATTTTGTTAAAACAGTGTTACACTAATATGGTAAGCTAAAGAGAGAACCTCTTTAAGCATCATCATCATCATCTTTTTTTAAAGAATCATTTTAAATTTGGAGAATCTGTTTTAAATTTAAAGAAAAGCCAACAGGATAACTGTGGAATGTTGCTCTTGGTTTTTACTTTGCTGTTTTGTTTCAATTAGAAATAAAATTCTCTATTACTCCTCTTTCATAGGTAAGGTAAACACTGTAAATCTGTGTATTCAGACACTAAAAATGTTTAATTATTATTTTTTGTTTTTATTTTTGCAGAACCGGGTACTGAACTCAGGCCCTTATGCTTGCCAGGGAAGCGCTTATTCAACTGAGCTCTCTCCCTAGCCCCAAAAATGTTTAATTATTAACTCCAATCAAGTTCCTTTTCATCATTGAAAATTTTAAATGATGGGCTGATGCGATAGCTTGGTTTCTAGGTGCCTGCCTGGCAAGCACAAGGTCCCTGAGCTG